TGTAATTAAATTGGATTAATTGTTATTTGATTACAAATGATTTGACTAAAACCTAAGGAATTCTGTTGAGGAAGTGTACTTTTTTATTCTATTTCTTTTTCCGTTGGGGGGATGATGCAAGTTTATGAGTAACTTCAAAGCAGTCTTGTTTTCTTTAGCACCACAATAATCCACAGCTAGAAACAAACTTGACGTCTCAACGTCACATGTTAGCCGATCTAATAAAAACAGATTTTTTACATGAGTTGTGATTTTGTTACTAATCTATTCAATTCTGTTGAATAAATTATTTTTGGTTTTCATTTTCAGCTGGATCCAGGATGTTGAGCTATGTCAATAATGGAGTTTCCGAGCTGTTGCTTTGAATGACAGTTTCACCCTAGATCATTCTCACAATGCTAGACTACTCATTCCACTCCCTATGTTCCTTTTCAGTCTTATTTTCTGTTTTGTTTTCTCTTTTCCCGCCAGTTTTCTCACTTCCTGTTCAGACTCAAGCCCTTTTGGAATTCAAGAGTAAGCTTAAAGACCCCTTGAATGTTTTAGATTCTTGGAAAGAATCAGAGTCTCCATGCAAATTCGCGGGAATTACTTGTGATCCATTTTCCGGGGAGGTCACGGGGATCTCTCTTGAAAGCAAGTTTCTTGCTGGGGAGATTTCGCCATCCATTTCAGTCCTTGATGGTCTTACAATCCTTTTCTTGCCTTGTAACAATATTTCTGGGAAGCTCCCTCCCGAGATAAGTAATTGTACCAAACTCAGAATATTGAATCTCACTTCGAATCATATGGTGGGAAGTATACCGGATCTTTCTGTGTTGAAGAACTTGGAGGTTCTTGATTTGACCATAAATTACTTTTCTGGCAAGTTTCCTAGTTGGGTGGTGAACTTAACTGGCCTGATTGGTTTAAGTATAGGGCAAAATGATTTTGATGAGGGTGAAATTCCAGAGGGTATTGGGAACTTGAAGAACTTGACTTCGTTGTTTCTAAAACAATCAAACTTAAGAGGAGAGATTCCAGAGTCTATTTTTGAACTGAAGGCTTTAAAGGAATTGGATATGGCCATGAACAATATATCTGGGAATTTCCCAAAATCAATTTCCAAGATGCAAAATCTTGTCAAGATTGAACTCTTTAGGAACCATTTGACAGGGGAAATTCCGGTGGGGCTTGCAAATCTTACTCATCTGAGGGAAATAGATATATCCTCTAATAGGCTGTATGGGAAATTGCCAGAAGAGATTGGCAACTTGAAGAATTTGACAGTTTTTCAGTGCTATCAAAACAACTTTTCTGGAGAATTCCCTCCAGGGTTTGGGGATATGCGTCAACTGATTGGGTTTTCTATCTATAGGAACAACTTTTCTGGGGAATTTCCTGCAAATTTTGGCAGATTTGCACCACTGGGGAGTTTTGACATATCAGAGAATCAGTTTTCAGGTGGCCTTCCCAGGTTCTTGTGTGGAGGTGGGAAGTTACAGTTATTACTTGCTCTACAAAATAACTTTTCTGGAGAGTTAGCAGATTCTTATGGTGATTGCAAAACCCTGCAAGAGTTCAGAATCAACAAGAACCATCTGACTGGAAAGATTCCGGACGGAGTTTGGGCACTGCCTCTTGCTAACATTATTGACTTTAGTGATAATGATTTTACTGGGGGGATATCCCCAAGCATAGGTCTCTCCATTAGCTTGAATGAATTGATTCTGCAAAATAATGGCTTTTCAGGCGTCCTTCCTACAGAACTTGGCAAGTTGGCAAAACTAGCAAGTCTACAATTGAGTAATAATGAATTCTCTGGCAATCTACCTGGGGATATTGGGGCACTGAAGCTGTTAAACTCATTACATCTGGAACAAAACTCATTAACAGGAATGATACCTCCAGAGTTGGGTAATTGTGCCAGGTTGGCGGACTTGAATCTTGCTTGGAATTCTTTAAGTGGTAATATCCCACAGACACTTTCACTCTTGAGCTCGCTGAACTCTCTGAATCTTTCGGGAAACAAAATTACAGGTTCAATTCCAGTAAGTCTCCAAAAGTTGAAGCTAAGTTCTATTGATTTGTCTGATAACCAGTTGTCAGGAACCATTCCATCTGATCTCTTGACCATTGGTGGAGATAAAGCTTTTCTTGGGAACAAGGAACTCTGTATTGAACAAGATTCCAAAACCCTTAGAAATTCTGTGTTGAATGCCTGCAGTAAAGATTATAGAAAGAAAAGAGTATTTGAAGATAAATTGGTCTTGATCTTAATAGTAGCAGCCTTTCTGCTTGTTCTGGCTGGAGTGCTACTCGTGAGTTATAGGAACTTTAAGCTCAGTGAAGCCGACTTGGAAAGCAATTCAGAAGGAGAGAAAGAAGTCGATCCAAAATGGAAACTTGCATCATTTCACCAGTTGGAAATTGATGCAGATGAAATATGTAATTTGGACGAAAACAAGCTGATTGGAAGTGGCAGCACTGGGAGAGTTTATCGGCTGGATTTGAAGAAAAACAGTGGTACAGTGGCTGTTAAAAAATTGTGCAAAGGTGATGGTGTGAAGGTGTTGGCAGCTGAGATGGACATTTTGGGGAAAATCAGACACAGAAACATACTTAAGCTCTACGCTTCTCTATTGAAAGGAGGGTCAAGCTTTTTGGTGTTCGAGTACATGGCAAATGGTAATCTTTTTGAAGCACTACACAGAAAGATCCAAGGTGGTGTGCCAGAATTGGATTGGTATCGAAGGTATAAAATTGCTTTAGGAGCTGCACAGGGCATTGCTTATCTACACCATGATTGCTTACCTCCTATAATTCATAGGGATATAAAATCAAGCAACATTTTACTTAATGAGGATTACGAGCCAAAAGTTGCTGATTTTGGATTTGCAAAGATAGCAGAAAAGTCTCTTAAGGGATTTGATTCCTGCAGTCTTACCGGAACCCATGGTTACATTGCTCCTGGTGGGTATAAACTGTTTCTTTTTCCTCTTTTCTTTTTCAAGTCAGTAATAATTTTAAATTTTCACATATGAAAAGGTTTTATATATAAATCTGTTTGATTTCTGGCACCTGACTTTGCAATAGGATTTAAGTTTCATGACATTGTTAGCATGCCCTTATCATACTCTGTTCTCAGGGTTGTGCAAAATAGTTATGTTATTATTTTCAAATAAATTGTCATTTATTTCCCGGTACCAATGTTCCATTGTTAAGATCATGTGTCATGTTATATGGAACACAAGCAATAAAAATAATTCTTGTCAATTTCAACTTCTGAAATGCACACCTTAGTCTGTTGCCTTAAGTCTTGCATGTTTGTGAGACATGTGAAATGTTCGGAAGAAATGAAATGAGAATCATTACATGTCAATTGAGGTTTGTTCCATGTTCTATGGTCTCAAGTGTCCTATTTTATTGTGAAAAATTTGTCTCCCAAGTGTTTTTTAAAGTGACTATGAATTTGTACGGAGCTGTTACTGATATTTGGGCTTTAATAATGCTCTGCAGAGCTGGCATATAATCGGAAAATCACAGAGAAGAGTGATGTATATAGTTTTGGTGTGGTGCTACTAGAACTGGTTACAGGCAAAAGACCCATTGAAGATGAATATGGAGAAGGGAAGGATATTGTATATTGGGTTATATCTCATCTCAGGAACCAGGATGATGTCCTCAACATTCTTGACCGTGAAGTAGCCTCCCAAACAGTCCAAGATCAGATGATTGAGGTCTTGAAGATTGCTGTTCTTTGCACAGTCAAACTTCCTAACCGGCGCCCTACCATGAGAGACGTGGTCAAGATGCTTGGCGATGCAGCTCCATGCACTATCTTGTCACCAGAAAGCTGTTCCTAGAGAGGTAAGGATTTTCTCCAATCTAGCAAATTTTCCCGATTAGGTAACCTGTCAAGCGTCAGATGTTGGTAGCCATATATATAATTTGGTGAATTTGTTTTGGTATTGTATTTTCAAGCAAGCTATAGGCGTGCGGATCAATAGTTTTCTATGAATACTTTTGTTATAAACTGAGGAAATGCTTAGAGCTGTTGTGCATATAAATATATGCATATTTCTAGCTAGAAGGGGATTGATGGTTTTTCCTCATATGCATAAATATCCTAACATTATTTACAATTCTATATGACATTATAATTATAATATTACAACAGAGATAATAGAATGTTTTATAATTTAATCTCAAGGGTTGGATCTAATGTCATTTTGTAAAGGATGTGCCTCTAAGATTGCCCAAGAAAAAATTAATCTTGAGATATACGAAACTGATTTACGCACACCTCCTAGCTATAAATATATATATATATAAAAGAATGTTCTAAAATTAGCGGACTTCCACATAATATCCGTCAACGTTATAAATACAACACACCTAATCTTCATTTTCCAGTATAAGTCCCGTAACATGGGCAATGACTAGTGTCGTCATTTGGCACACTGAGTGGCTTACCATACAATAACCCAAAGTACTAATTCTAGCATTTGCATATCCTTTCACTCCTATCATTTCCTTACCAGTCTCTCAAGTGCCTAGCCACATAAATTTTCGACTTCAGATAGAATTGTGCATTTTTACAAGATCAATCTTTAAATTACTTGTGACAGGAATTGAGAGAAAATGGGTTCGATTTTCAGGTTTATCAATTGCAATATCACCATTAAATTCACCATTCTCATAGATCTCCCTTACCTCATCAGTTTACTACGAACATGTTTTCCAAGACATGCACACGAGTACCATTTAACTGTCTGCACCTTTTCTAAAAGAGCTTGCACTTCACCATTGATCTCTACTGCACGTTTAAGCCAAGCTTCCACCTCTAGCTTTAACATTCTTTGGTCACCAACCTCTTCTTTTATTCTTGATTCGATATCTTGTTTTCTTCTGTGTGCACCTTGTCTCCCAAATGTTCTCTCAGCTCATTCACATCTTCACTAAACTGTGTGTGATAATCGAAACAGTTGCATGCTGGATCACATATGCACTTGATTGCTGAAAGGTGTAACTGTTAATTTCTGCAGTAAACTAAAGAACACACTAATCTGGATTTTATGAGCTTCTCGGATGTGGAGCTCTATTTCATTGCAGATTGATAACTGACATACACAGCAACTTATCCATTACAGTTTTTTCATAAAGGATAAAAATAACTACTCCTAATGTAGCTAACTTGTAGAACTAACTGTAGAAAACAATAAACCAGTTACAAATTAAAAAAAGCATAACTGCTGTTAACTGATATCTTCAACACTCCTCCTTGCTTTTTATATTTGTAACTCCAAGCATAATTCTGAACTCTTCAAATTTCTGCTTTGGAAGAGCTTTAGTCAGAATATCTGCAACTTGAATTTCAGAATCACAATGTTGCAAAACAATCTCTTTGTCCCGAACATAATTTCTGATAACATGATATTTAATCTTGATGCGTTTGGTCCTACCATGCTGCATTGGATTTTGAGCAATAGCAATTGCTGACATGTTATCTACCTTGAGTACACAAGGCTCCATTTGATCAAAACCAAGTTCTTCAAGCACCATTCTAAGCCAAATAGCATGATTCGCTGCTGCCCCAGCTGCTAAATACTCGGCCTTAGCTGTGGACTGAGCTTCAACATCCTGCTTCTTTGAATTCCAAGAGAAACTCCCTGAACCAAAGGAGAACACATAACCTATTGTGCTTATCATATCCTCCATAGAACCTGCCCAATCACTATCAGCATACCCCTGTAACCTTCCTTGTTGATTACTGTCAAACCACAAGCCAAGTTCATAGGTTCCTTTGATGTACCTAAGAACTCTCTTGGTTGCAACTAAATGAAGTTTACTAGGAGCTGACATAAACCTTGACAAATAGCTTGCTACAAACATCAAATCAGGTCTTGTAGCAGTTAAATAAAGCAGGCTACCAATTAAACTTCGGTAGTAGGAGGAATCAACCTTGGTTTCTCGATCATCCTTGGAAAGCTTTTCATATTGAACCAGTGGAGTGGCAACTGGTTTACAACTCTCCATTTCAAACTTCTTCAAGATATCCACTGCATACTTTCTTTGGCAAATGAAATTTCCCTTGCTCAATTGCTGAACTTCAAGTCCCAGAAAATACTTTGTCTCTCCCAAATTTGTCATTGCAAACTCCTGCATCATAACCTTCTTGAATTGTTCCATCAACTTCAAATCATTTCCAATTAACAATAAGTCATCCACATAAAGTGACAAAATAAGCTGAGATTCACTGCTACTGCCTTTCACATACAAAGTTGCTTCTTCTGTGCTCCTCCTGAATCCTTGACTCATCAAATAGTCATCAATTCTGCAATACCAGGCCCTTGGCACCTGTTTTAGACCATACAAAGCCTTGTTAAGCTTATAAACATAGTCTTCCTTCCCTGTAATCTCAAACCCAAGTGGTTGTACAACATAAATTTCCTCTTGTAGAACACCATTAACGAAAGCTGATTTTACATCCATATGAAACAACTTC